AGTGTAATGGACTCGGCGAGTAGGCGCTGAGTGGAGAAAATCCTAATTCTCGGGGTTGAGCCTTATATAACGATCACTATGTTTTCCTCCCAGCCTCTTTATCACCCCTTGAGCCCCATAAAACCCTAAATCACGGAGAAGCACCATTGTTGAGTGGATTGGAGCTTGGAGAAGTAATGGTTGAAGGAATTTTGGGAAGATTGAAGGCTTGGAGCAAGGGGCTTTGCTTGGATTCGAATTGCATTGTAGTTGGGGCATCACTTAGAGGTAATATCTCGTTTTTGACCTGTTGTTATGTTGTTTCTTCATTTTGGGGTCTGTGATAAATTGTCTATGGATGAAATGGGAAGTCTAGAGGTTAGATCTGAGGTTGCTACTTCATATCTGGAAGGGAGAAGAATCAGAGAGCATGAAAGTCCCTGTGTTGGAGTGTTTAGTGAAGCTTGCATGTCCCAAACCTTAGCCCCAATGTGCAAACGGCTTAGATCTCTTTGGATTCACGTAAAGTTTGCCACTTTATGTGATGGATGAGTGGTAGGAGACTATATCTATGTCTTGGAGCAGTTGCATGGCCTGGAATGCTTCGGAATGTATTCAGATCGGTGGTACTCGGCGAGTCACATGGGTGGACTCAACGAGTTGGATGAAGATGGCCTGGAACTCGGCGAGTTGTATGAACAACTCGGCGAGTAGGTTGAAGATAGCCGTAGACTCGGCGAGTCTGTTCTTGGACTCGACGAGTCTTGTCGAAGAGTCCCAAATATTCTCTGGTTGAGTCGAGAATCAGTGAGTCGAGGGATGACTCAGTGAGTCGTGTGCGAGTGGACTCAGAGTTGTTGGACTCGGCGAGTCTCGGGGTGACTCGGCGAGTTAGGTAGCAGATTGAGTGAAGTTCTGATTATGGGAACTCGACGAGTCACAGGGTTGACTCGGCGAGTAGGGTCGATCAGGGGTTGACTTAGACTGAGGACTTTGATTTCGACCAAGGGTCGGCCGTTGACTTTTAGGGTTTGGTCAGCGATGTGGCCTTTGGGCCAAGAGAGAGGTAAAATAGTCTTTTACCCATAAGAGGGTGTTATAAGAGGATTTATTCTAGTCTCAAGAGTTATATTCATGAGAGTATTTGCCTTACATGTTAGGCGGTGGCGAGTTCGAGATTCAAGTGTGGGGATATCTGCTTTCTGCTTGCCAGGTGAGTCTCTCACTATACTTTACCTTGAGTAGGTAACCAGAGTTATGTGATCAGAGTATTTGTATGCTATATGTACGTGATGTGTTGTACTGCATTATTTCTATGTGATTTATGTTGTGCATGTTTATAGAGTTGGAACCGGAAGGTTCCCAGAGTTAAAACCTGAGGGTTCACAGTGTTTGGGTGCACGGACCCACGGAGTTATAGCCTCGAGTGGCTAATATGTGTTATGTGTGGTATTTTGGGGAACTCACTAAGCTTCGTGCTTACAGTGTTTTGTGTGATGTTTTTTTTCAGGTTTCTTTCAGTATCACGAGATGACACCGGCTTGATTGTACACACCAGCGAAAGAGTCATATTTTGGAGGATCCTGGTTTTCTATGCAAGTGAAAATGGAGTCATGTTTTATAAATCGACTATGAATGAGATTTTAAACAAGTGTTTCTAAGAATAAAATGATTATTCTAAATGAAAATTTTGTCTTGAAATTTACGGTGTTACAGTTATAGGGTTAAGTACGACGACATCATTTCGTTATTTGATAAATAAGAAAGAAAAAAAAAAGATACAACTTTTTACTAACGAGTTGTCGTCGACATAGAGGATCACAGGATAACATGTCCTCTATACCGACAACATGTGATAGGGATGGCTTTAAACCCAATGATGCTAGTTCCTTTTTCCTGTAACATCACTTGTAAATAGATAACAAATTATAATTTCCAAACCAATGGCGGCGACATTGTGTCCGTGTAGATTTTCAGAAAACTGGGAAACAAGAATTCGTTCTCGCCTAACCTATGGCGACCACATATCTTCGGCATAGCTACTTTGGTCAATTTTTTACCAATGACATGGTGTCGCCTAATTTTTAGCGATGACGCTTTTTGTCGGTATAGGTATCGTCGGCATAGGTAGTTATTCTGTTAGTGTTAGTGTCAGTGCTCAAACAAAAAACCAAAGTTAGGGACCACTTTACAATAAAATTGAAAGTTGCAGTTAAGCTGCAGATTTCGGTATATCAAATGTACCATTCTTGGAATTTACTCTAATTATAATGAGCAAGTTTGAGCCGTTCAACGAATCTGACCCTTTTATTCTTAGCGAGGGTTCTAGATTTTATTAGTTTTCAATTAACCGTGTCAACATTGTCACTTCTGATTATATCATAATGCATTTGACAAAACTATGTTTATATATATATATATATATATATATATATATATATATATAGAGAGAGAGAGAGAGAGAGAGAGAGATAGGTTCAAATGTTTTTAGCAACTATTGTGTGCATGTATGCACCAATGAGAATTGAGGAAATAATAAATCTTTAAATAAATCATGTAAGGGTATTATAGTAATCTTTGCATGTTTAATTATGGTAATTCGTTAACTTCCTAAAACCTAGTTTTCTCCCGTATTTATCTTCAAATGATCGACCTAAGAAACCTGTAGCCGCACCTCAATCGGCAACTTCAAAGTTGTTCCTCTACCAGCCGACCATCACCATTTTCCTCTCCTCCCATCCCTAATTTCAATTTAATCCCTCTGTTGGCAAATTAGGTCATCCCCGAGACCAGCCTACTTAAATCGAGTGCACGCTTAAACTAAATTGAATCCTCCAACTTCAAGGGGTAACAACATCGTACGCCTTGAGTCTCTCTCACCAAGCGATGAAGCTCCGGCGTCTCATTCCAGCCACCGTTTTTTTGTTTCTCCGTTTATCAGCTCCTGCGATTGGCTCTCTTGTATAACGACAGAATAAAGGTATATGATTTTATTATTACCATTTTCATGGGGTAATGACCACTCTGTTTGTTTCAAATTTTCATTTTCTCGCAAGTTGGTTAGGTGGATCTATCAAAAGTATGTTGTTGAATAAAGATCTGCACGGTTGTAATTAGTCTTTTTAATTGTGTGAATTTGAGATGTTTCAATTCTTTGCTGCCTAATAACCGATGCTGGATACATATCATGCATTCCAACTGTTCGACGAAATGCTAGTAAGAAAAAAAAAATTCTCAAAAAATAAAAGATTTATGTAAAGAAAATGATAAATGAAAGGCTTTTCTTGTTTGCAGATACAATTGAAGTCTTCAGCAGAAGAAATGCAGGCCATTATTAAGGGTCTTGAAAAGGTCAGACAAGAACTAGATGCTTCAGCAAACGATGGCATGGCCCTGTCTATGAAGTTTTTCATAAAGTAAATACACAAATATTTTACTCAATTTCTTCTAATTTGATATCTTTTTTTTTATATAAAACTACAATCTGATGCAAATATTTCTTTTTGTTGCATTGTTAGACATCGAATCAGTTTATCAGTATTGTTGAGTTGGAAGTGGGGTCCGTAACAAATTTGTATTCTGTGGTGGTAAGAATCAAGAACAACCCTTTGAATTAAACTTTATATATACTTTGTATTATTTTATAATGTTTGTGTTGCAGGGTAGAAATGTTGATGCATTGGCATTATATTTTGGTGAAGATCCTGCTCGTTGCCCTTTTGAACAAGGTAACATATTTAATTGGCATGTTCTTTTTATAAGGAGCAATAATAATAATAATAATTGTTGAATTGAATATGTTTTAAAGTATAAGAGAAGAATGATGGTTTATGGCTATGGTTGTAGTTAATTCCTTAAGAATATTCAAAACCATTCTGCAAGAATAGTTTATTCTGCAATAATATTATTGTTGTATTCTGATAGAATTGTAGTTAATTATTTATATGCTTAATGTGCAGTTGTTACAAGTGTATCACTACGAATTAATTCGCAATGAATTTCTGATAGAAATGGCTTGAAGACCTGATGGCAAAGGCTTGAAGAATGAATTAAAGAATGATCACACTCATTTTTTAAGAATTATACTTGTTATTCTTTCAGAATATTTGTTATTATTCAATGAATCACAATCATACAATGTAATTATTTGGTATATGATTAGTTCAAGAATCGATTTTGTGTATTCTTTCAGAATGTATTTACTAGTTTATGGTTGACATTCTGTCATTCTGACAGAATAAAATCGAAAAATATATTTACTAGTTTATTGCTAACATTCTATCATTCTGATAGAATAAAATCGGATTTTTAATTTTGAATTAATTTAAAATATTTAGATTTTCAAAAATAAAGGAATTAATTATCACTAAAAATACGAAAATTTCCTTTTTTAATATAGGTTAATTGACTAAAATGCCCTTATACTGAAATTTGTGTGATTATATGGTACATGTTATCCTATTCTAATATCATAGACCCTCAGATCATGACTATTGATTATATTCCATCCAATGGTCTAGATCTGTGCATTCTGGCACACAATAGTTACTAGAAACAAAATAACCTAAGCCTATATATATATATATATATATATATATATATATATTGAATTTAATAGCTAGTTATTTTCTGTTAGGCTTCGGCACATCAAACCAGTTCAGTCAAACAATTAAATGAAACTCATTTGCTTGTAGTTAGTTTATTAAATTATTGAACATCAAAATACAGTTAATAATTTATAACTATTATCCACAAAATTTATGAACTATATTTAGATTTCTCAAAAATGTCAATGATTGTTTGTCAAATACTGTGTTAGTTCGACTCATATTTTGTTAAAAGACTATGACCTAAAGGAAACCAATATGTGGATTCAAATAGTTTGCTGAGTTTAAAGTACGAGACAATGACAATAAGTTTTTCTTAATTTATGGCTCTATAAAATGAACCGGTTTCTTCATCATAGCAACCTATCTTTCCTCTTCAATTTCTAAATTTAATTGATCAAGGTGGGCTTGAGAATGGGGAATCAGAGGGGGTTGGGGCTTCATATCATTTCGGTTACTATTTTCTTGGTTGCCACTACATCTACTTGTTTGGGTGTTCAAACTACCAGTGAAGGTTGCTTTGAGCATGAGCGTCTTGCTCTTCTGAAGTTCAAACGCAGTTTCAAAGACGACCTTGAACTGTTATCATCATGGGTTGTCAATGATTGTTGCCGGTGGGAAACAATCCACTGTGACAGCGTCACTGGACATGTTGATAGCCTTTTTCTTAGAGGGATGTCATCTTCTTTTCCTCCCAACCAGTACTACTTAGATCCTGAATGCGACTTCTTAGACGGTAATGAGCTAAAATATTCTTTGGCAGATTTGAGGCATTTGAAATACTTGGACCTGAGTGGTAATTATTTTGGAAGAAGCCGGATCCCAAAGTTCATTGGATCCTTCAAACAGTTGGTCTACCTCAATCTTTCGCATGCTGGTTTTGAAGGTATTATTCCTCATCACTTTGGAAATCTTTCTAATCTAAAGGTTCACGATCTCAGTTCAAATTATGGGCTGGTGGTAGATGATATGGCATGGACTTATGGCCTTTCTTCACTCGAGCATCTCGACTTGAGTTCATTGTATCTTAGTGGAGCACACAACTTGCACATGGTGTTTTTCATGATTCCTTCATTAAAAGGGTTAAGTTTGTCATATTGTGGACTTTCCAATGTTGATCTCGATCCTCTTCTGAATTCGAGTAGAATGATTCCCAACATCAAACACTTGGATCTTGGCTTTAATAACTTTGAAGGTCCACTCCCTGCCTTTTTCAAAAATATGACATCCCTAGCATTCTTGGATCTTTCAAACTTTAATCTTAGTTTGGCATGGAACTTTGCAAACTTGCTAAACATGATCCCTTCTTTATCAAAGCTGTATTTGTCAAGTTGTGGGCTCGATAAGACATTTCTCTCTCCTCTTCATCTTAATTTCAGTATACTTTCTAATATTCAACATCTGGATCTTAGCAAAAATTCAATTGAAGGCACATTTCCATCTGTTTTAACAAACATGAGTTGCGTAAGTGTCCTTGACCATTCAGGAGACAAATTGAATTCATTGGTTCCTTCTATGCCTAATCTTCTAGAGCTTGAACTTTCTTCTAACAAGTTTAAGAAGATTGAGCAGATAGGAATTTGGAGACTGTGTCGCCTGAAAAGATTGAGTGCATCATTCAATAATTTTGATAAAGAAATGAGTCACACCCCCACAAACACTTCAGAATGCTCTCAATATGCTTTGGAGGAGTTGCATTTAAGTTTTGGTTTAAATGGCACAATCCCGGATTCATTTCGAAGGCTAGTGAATTTAAGAAACTTACATCAATCAAGCAATGGATTGACTGGGTCAATGCCTTATTTGCTAAGAAAGTTAAGATTTTTAGAAGTATTAGATATATCCAATAACAAGTTAACCGGTCCAATTTCGGCATTCCATGGGAAACTTTCCAAACTTGACCTTTCTTTTAATCAGTTGAACGATTCAATTCCAGACTCCCTTGGAAAACTAGCATCCTTAACAGATTTGTATATAAGAAACAATCGATTAACAGGGCCCATCCCAGCATCTCTGGGGAGACTTATTTCATTACAATCACTTTCGATGAGTAGGAATTTTCTAAATGGGACTATTCCAGTTTCAATGGGGAAACTTGCCAAATTCCATTCTCTAGATGTCTGTGGAAATGTTCTAGGAGTCATTTTTGAAGCCCATTTTGCCAACCTTTCAAAGTTGAAATACTTGGATACTACTTCTAATACTAAGCTGACATTAAACATATCACCAGAGTGGATACCTCCATTCAAATTGATAGGTCTTCACCTTAGTTCTTGCAATATTGCAAATGGATTTCCACAGTGGCTTCGAAATCAAAGAAAACTCAAGACATTAGTGTTGTCCAATGCTACAATTTCAGGACCTCTACCCACATGGTTGCGGAAGACGCCAATCATTCCCCTCTTAGATCTCTCCCACAATAAACTCAATGGTCCTTTGACAAATCTTCCTAATGGAGGAAATCATGATTTGACCGGGGATGGAGTTACTGCGGTATTACATCTGCAAAATAACTTTTTTAATGGTTTGATTCCAAGGTCTTTGTGCACAAGGAAAGATTTAAACTATCTTGATCTTTCTAGAAATATGCTAACTGGGAAAATTCCGGAATGTCTTGAGAATATGCAAGGGCTGCGTACCATGAAATTTAGCTCAAATCGGTTGTCTGGTGTCATTCCAAGCTCCATAGGTCTTAATTCAAGGTTAAATTGGTTAGATCTAAATGACAATAATTTTACTGGTGAGCTTCCACACGAATTGGGGAATTTAACCAAGTTAAATGTCTTGGATCTGGGTGATAATAATTTTTCTGGAAATATTCCCGATTGGATTGGAGAAAACCTCACATCTTTAATGGTTTTAAGGTTACACAAAAATAATTTCTCCGGAGGAATTCCTCGATCATTGTGCAAAACTGCAAATCTACAAATTTTGGATGTTACTGGTAACAACTTAACCGGAACAATTCCTAAATGTCTTGGACAGTTGAATGCTATGATTAACAGTAGCAGAGTAGCATTGCACAGACAAGAGATAAACATTGATGAGAATGTGATTCAGATTTTGAAAGGTCCGGATCATGAATATACACATACTTGGGATATAATTTTTAACATGGACCTCTCAAACAATAAACTTGTCGGAGAAATACCTGTGGAGCTAACTGCGCTAAAGATGTTGGTGGGACTTAATTTGTCTTATAATCATCTCAGTGGGAGTATTCCAGACAGCATCGGAAACATGTCAAAGTTAGAATCTCTTGAGCCATTTGAATTTGTCACACAACAACTTGTCGGGATCCATTCCATCAGGAAATCAGTTGCAGACTCTTACTGATCCATCAATATATGCTAGGAACGAAGACCTATGTGGAGCTCCATTGCCAAAGAATTGCTCCAATCATGAAGATTCAACGACAACAATCAAGAACAGACATGAAGAAAGTGATGGGCAGACCAAGGTGTGGTTTTACGTGGATGTAATGAGTGGTTTTGCAACAGGGTTTTGGGGTGTTATTGGAGTTTTGTTGTTCAAGAAGCAATGGAGATGGAAGCTTTTCAGGCTTGCTGATGAAACCATGGACAAGATATACGTTGTAGTTATGGTCAGAGTTGCCAAGATGAAGAGAGGAAGAGAAACCATATAGATCCTCTGGAATGCAAGTAGCTTTTGAGTACATAATATAAATTATTATTTCCTATCTAATATTGTTATCTTGATACTACTATTTGGATTTTATATTTGTATGGCATCTGTAATATGTAATATGGGTGTTGTTTAAAGGTGTCAATTTCAAAACTTTTGTTGGATTTCGTATTTATATAAGACCAGATTGTTAGATTAGATTATATTTGTATGACATAAAATAATTTATTGTGCTCTCAACCTTCTGCCGCGGATCTTGATCCGACCTTGACTAATTTTACAGGAGATTAAAATGATCAAAATATTCTCATTAACTAAACCCGGAGATACAACACAAAGTATATATACCGGGAAAAATAACAAACCTAGAGAAACTAGGAAACTTTTTAATAAGATAAACTAGAATAAAACTAGGATAAGTACTGCTGAATATGATAACTTTAACATTCCTTCTAAAGTTGGAATGTGAAGGTCACAAACACCAAACTTGCCACGAAGATACTTGAAACGTTCTACTCCAAGAGCTTTAGTAAATATGTCGGCAGGTTGATGTTATGGAAAAGGTTAGGTTGCGTTTAGTTACGGAAAAACAATTTTCATTTTCCGTTTTTTGTTTTCGCTTTTCAATTTTCATTTTCTGTTTTCATTTTTCATTGAAAAATTTAGAGAACGCGTTTAGTTAAACTTATTCATTTTTCATTTTCAGTTTTAGAAAATTAGAAAACGTGTTTAAATGTCTATTTTTCTATCGGTTTTCATTTTTAAAAAACGGTAGTGGTAGTAGGGTATGGGTGGGGGCGGTGACAGTAGCGGGTCGGCGGCGGTGGTGGTGATAACAGGCGATGGTGGTGGTGGCGTCAATTTTATCAGTGGTGGTGATGGTGGTGGTGCTAGCGACGGGTTAGTGGTGGTGGTGGTGATGGTAGGTCGGTGATTGTTGTGGTGGTGTTGGGTGGGTGGGGGTGCGAGTGTGTGTTTGTGTGTGTATGTGTATTTGTGGGGTAGGTGTAGGTTTGTGTGTGTGGGTGTGTGTGTCTGTGAGGGTGGGGGTAGGTGTGGGTGTGTGTGTGGGTGTGTGGGTATGTACGTGTGTGTGTATGGGTGGGTATGTGTGTGTGTTTGTGGGTTGGTGTGTGTGTGTGTGTTTGTGGGTGGGTGGGTGTGTGGGTGGGTGTGTATGTATGTGTATGTGTGTGTGGGGTGGGTGGGTATGTATGTGTGTTTGTAGGTGTGTGTGTGTGTGGGGGGGGGGGGGTTGGTGTGTGCATGTGGGTATGTGTGTGTGTGTGTGGATGGGTATGTATGTGTGTGTGGGTTGGTGTGTGTGTGTGTGTGTGCGGGTGGGTGTGTGTGTGGGTGGGTATGTATGTGTGTGTGGGGGTTGGTGTGTGTGTATATGTGTGTGTGTTTGTGGGTTGATGTGTGTGTGTGTGCGGGTGTGTGTGTGGGGGTGGATATGTATGTGTGTGTGTGGGTGAGGGGTGTTAAAGGTGGAGGTAGGTGGAAGTGGATGAGATGAAGTGGGTGTGTGTTTATAGAAAAATTTTGGAATTAGAAAAATATGGAAAACAATGATTATCAGTTTTCCAAAATTTTCCAACTTGTTTGTAATTTTAGAAAACGGAAAAATTTCATTTTCCGTGAAAAATTTAGAAAAATAGACGAACTAAACGCGTTTTCAAAATTCTCATTTTTCTTGGAAAAATTTTCCGGAAAACGGCTCATTTTTCCGCAACTAAACGCACCCTTAGTATCTCTCTACTAGACACCCACACTCGAATGAGATAGCAGTCCATTTCAACATGTTTTGTGCGCTCATGATAGATAGGGTTAGCTGCAATATGGTGAGTTGCCTCATTATCACAAATCAACGGGGTATCTCCTTTTTTAACAACACCTAGGTCAGAAAGTAACCACCGAAGCCATAACACCTCACAAACAGGGCTTGCCATAGCTCGAAATTAACCTCTGCAGAAGATCAAGCAACAACACTTTGTTTCTTCGTTGTCCAAGAAATAGGAGACCCACCAATGGTTATAAAGTCACCTGTGTTGGATCTTCGCGTAGACTGACAACTGAGACAACTAGCATCACAATAAGCCATTAAATCCAGACCACCGATAGCCTTAGCCGGTAAAAATAAACCTTGTCCTGGCCTTTAAATAGCGAAGAACTCTGAAAGCTGCATCCATATGGCCATAGCCACATCTTTAGACTGGATCCAAGTAGTATAGACTGTCTCTCTCTCTACCCATCCCAATCAGGTTCCTCGAGTGAAAGTCCGAACATAACATTTATCAGAGAAAAAGGTCAAAAAAACAGTTCAAGTCTCTCGTGTTTTTGCTCTTTGCTCACACACAATAGATTACATTTAAATCCCAGACACTGAAGACATCTTTCAACTTAATTCCATCTGATAGGTGAACATTCCTTACTTTCTTAACTGCTACAAAATCCCCATTTGGAATAGTTACAGAGGTATAAAACCATAATTTATTTTTTATGTTTTTCAGCCAACCCTCATGATGAGTGACAGGATCGTTGTCTCCCAAGTCTATAATCCAAGGTTCTACTAGGTTAGAAGTCTTACCGGTCATGTTTACAATGATGCGTGTATTGTCGCTGAATTGAGTGGCACATAACAATTTAAGCAGCTTTTTGTAATCTTCTTTTGTAATTTTGGGCATTTGTACATCATCAGTGATAGTTACAGCAGCTCGTGGTGGGGGCTTGGTCTTGTTTTTTTGAGTTTTGGTTCCTTTGGGCGTCCACCAATCTGGGTAGCCAATTAGCTCAAAGCAACCTTCTATCACATGTCCGGATTTTTGGCAATGAGTACACCAATGATCTTCGTTTTTCTTCTTGTTATTAGATGATTGAGGGCTCCCTTTTGCAAGAACTTTCATGCTGGATTTTCCATAAAATTAGAAGGTTGTTGTGTCATTCCCAGAGGAACGAGCCATTCCAATTTGCGTTTGTTGTTCATCTTAACTGACTAAGTGTTATGCAACCCCTAGGATGGGAAAGGGATTGGAGCTCAATATTTGTGTTTTGACAGCATTGCATTCTAACAATAAGAGAGATATATGAATATATTTGATTGATGAATATTGATTACATACGAGAGGCATTTATAGCCTAAGTCTACTAACTGATCTAAGCTTATATCTAGGAATAAATACAGGAAACTATTCTATGACTTGACTCAGTAACTGGACTAAGTATTTACATTGGAATGCTTTAAATATAAACGTGAGATACATGCTTAATATAATTAGTTAATATATTCTTCATTCAATCCCATCAAAAAATCATACAACATCTCCTTTTCACGCATTTTGGCAAACTCCTTTGTTACATCAAAGGAGTATCCATTGCATGTCAGGCTAGGTAAGGGACTTATCGACTGAATTTCATCCCAAATACCTTTAAGTTTTATATAATAAGCAGAAACTGTCATATCGTCCCGATTAATGCTTGTAACCTTTCTTCTAAGTTCAAATGCTCGTGGTGCGTTTTCTTTGCCAAAGCTTTCTGCAAGGTCTAGCCATATATCACATTATGCTATTACAACATATTTAATACTACCTTTAATGTCCTTTTCCATTGCACTAATTAGCCAGCCTCTCACTATGGCGTTACATCTTTTCTAATTCATCCGATCTGCCCAAACTTCTTTAGGCATAGGCAGGCTTCCGTCGATAAAACCGATCTTGTTCTTTGCTAGCAATGCGTTTATCATCTCACATTGTCAATCACTATAGTTTCCATCGTGAAGCAAGCTTTCTCCAACGAGGTTTTGGCCATGATGATTAGCCATCCTGAGGAAATATGGTGATGAAATATCAATCGCCGCTTTCTCCCCACCGGAAGAACTACCCTTCTCTTCGCCTCCTGTCATCGAGCTTGATTATGACTCCCATATTTTCTCTAATACCATGAAAAATTTGATAGACGATTAAAATCAATATTTAGGGGGTGTTTGGATAGGGAAAAATAGGCTGCTTATTGCTTATTGCTTAATCCCACCGCAATAAGCAAATTTAAGTGTTTGAATAGGAGTCTTTAAAAATCAGGTTATTGCGGTAGGAATAAGCAAAATAAGTTGATTTTAATAAGCAGGAGGGGGGGGGGGGGGGATGCTTATTGTTTATTAGTCATTTTACTCATATAAGCTATTTTGTTTGCTAAACACTTACAATGCTTATTGCTTATTGCTTATTCCCACCGTAATAAGTTAATCCAAACACACTTTAAAAAAATGCTTATTCCCACAACAATAAGCTAATAAGCTAAAAACTATTTATCCAAACATCCCCTTAACTAAACCCGAAGGTACAAAACAAAGTATACATACCGGGAAAAATAACAAACCTAAAGAAACTAGGAAACGCTTTAATAATTAAACTATAATAAAACTCGGATAAGTACTAGTTGAATAAGATAACTTTAACAAACCTGCTGCTGAATCCATTACTTTTCATCAACATTGGTCCTAGTAAGAATTATGTAAATCGACTCTTTATTTATTTCTTCACTTATATGTATTTCTACTTTGTCATGTAAAGGACGAAAATGATTGGTTGAAAGGTCTTGGTTAATTTTTTGGTTCTGTTCTTGTGACTAAAAAATAATAAGTTAGGTGGATGTTGTTGGTTTGATTTCTTGAACTTCTTATTTTTGTGATCTAAATCAGAAATACTGCAAGATTGATATGTACGTGTGTGAATTTGTAAGTGAATGTTTCCTGCAAGAAAAGAGGTCGGTGGTCTTTGTGTAAGTTAAATCAGTCTTAGTAGGCAAAGCATGTTTGCGGGTGAAAAAGAAATGAAGAATTCATGGAAGATGAGATATAACGATTCCAAACAAATATAATGCAAGAAGCTATCAGTTTACAACACAAATTATTGCGAGATGCACCAAAATATAGAATTTATAAACCATAAAATAAAAGTAGTCGAGCATAGACAGATTCAAATGGTTTTAATTTGTTCTTGGTTC